AACCTGCGGGGAACTCTGCAAAAAACGCATCTTCGCACGGACAGCCCGTGCGTTGGCCATTTATTACTCTCAAAAAATGTGTTCTGCGCAGCGTGCTTTCATGAAAAAATAATTGGCTAACGCACGGGCTGCCCGTGCATAGATGCGTTTTTTGCATAGTTCCCCGCAGTTTTTGTCAATACCGGCACCAGTTTTTTCGACAAATGCGTCTAACTAAACAAATTGAGACGGGGCGTCAGAACTGTCAAGAAACGCCCCCTAAAATTTCAGCTTTCTATCTTTCCTGGCTCCTGAGCTGGCAACTTACTGGAAAAAAACTTTCACGGATCATACGTGGGTACGGCGCCTACGCGATGTCTGGATTCGAGTTCGTTGAGAATTGCGTGAACTAGGAACATCATCTTAAAACTACAGTACTTTAGCCTTTCAGGTACTTGAGTTATCGACTTACCCGAAAAAAACTTTGGCGGGCCCGCATGTGGGTACCACGCGGACCCGGCGGCTGGGTTTGAGCTCAATGATTCTAAGGTGGGCGGGGAATATCCCTCTAAGATTTCAGCATTCTCGCTTTCTCATATCCTCAAGTTATGAACTTACCCGAAAAAAATTTTGGCGGGCCCGTACGCAGGTACCACGCTTACCCGAAGGCTGGGTTTGAGTCCACTAATACCTGCTTAGACGGGAAAATCCTCCTAAGATTTCAGCATTCTAGCTTCTCGGATCCCCGAGTTATGAACTTGCCCGAAAAAAATTGTGGCGGGCCCGTGCGCGAGAGCACGTTTGCCCGTGGGCTGTATTTGAGCTCATTAATACATACTTGAAAGGGGAACATTCCCTTAAAATTTCAGCCCCCAAGCATTTCTGGTTCCTGATTTAGCAGCTTGCCCATGAAAAACTTTGGCAGATTCTTACGTGGGTACCACGCGGGTAGGGCCGCCCATTTTGGGGATGGGGATTCGTACGTGCATGTAGATTAAGTTCCCAAATTTCAGCCTTGTAGCTTTTGTAGGTCTAGAGATGAAAAATCGTTACAGAGGCCCAGCGCAAGCACAGACACACAGATACACACATTCCGCATTGCATAGCTGCAAAAAACGCATAAAAAGGAAAACTTAGTCGAAAGCGTACCAGCTGCCTGGTATGAGGATGCGTTTTTTGCACAGTTCCCCGCAGGTTTTTTTCGCCAGTGGCACGTTCTTCCCGGCAGATGCTTCCAGCTAAAAGAATTGGCACTGACCACCACGACTGTTAGAAATTATTACAGTGACTCCCAATCAATGCGCAAAAAATTCAGCGCTGTGGATGATTCGGTTGCGGGGTCACGTCATATCTCACGTGTTCGTACGTGGGTGGAGCGTGAATGACTTCTTTGCTTGCGGTTGCTCAAATACGGTCATAGGTAGTGCTCAGAAGGTTTCAGTACTCCAGCTGCTGTGGTTGCAGAGTTACGTCAAACTTCGTGTTCGTGCGTGAGTGGCAACGTGAGTGCTTTCTTTGCCCGCTGGTAAAACTCTGGGTAGCGCTCAGAGAGTTTCAACACTCTAGCTGCTCTAGTTGCGAAGTTACGTCAAATTTCACGTGTTCTTACGTAAGTGGCTACATGAATGATTTCTTCGCTCGCAGTTGCTCAAACATGGTCCTGGGTAAAGCTCAAAAAGTTTCAGCACTCCAGCTGCCCTGGTTGCAGATTTGCGTCAAATTTCACGTGCGTACACGTGAAACTTACGTGGCGCGTGAAAGTGATGTGTAGGTTGCGTGCATCTGGTCAAAGGGCACCATCGGTTATGCTCAGAAAGTCCAGGTCCTCTGGCTGGTTCAATTCTGAAGTTACAAAAGCGCGTGTGTGAAATTTTCACGTGTTCGTACGTGAGATCCAGAACAGCTGACAAGTAATTTACTTACACGGGCACAACAGTAGGCGACAAGTAACGCTGCAAAATTGCAACTCCCTGCAGCTTATCAGTCAGCTTAAAACTGGAGTTGGCATGATGCCAGTTTAAACCTTGACGTGTGTGTACGTGAGACCTGGGGGTGCGTGAAGGCTGAGTTCGAAATCTTTCGATAAGGCGCGGCCAAGGAACAACTCTGTGAAGTTCCAGTCTCCTAGCGTGGGCCGTTCCCGAAGGCGCTTTCCCAATAAAAAAACTTCCACGTGTCCTTACTTGAGAACCGGTGGAACTGATCGTCCATTTTGAGGATACGAGCCCGCACGTATGTGTAGATTAAGTCACCAAATTTTCAGCCTTGTAGCTTTTGTGAATATAAAGATAAAAACTTGTTATAGACGCACACACAGACACACACACACAACCCCTCGACAGTATGCGTTTTTGCGTTGCATAGCTGCAAAAAACGCATAAAAACATTCAAATAGTCTTGATGGTTTGTATAAAACTATAATAAATTCTGTCGAATCAAGCTTTATTCGTGCTCCACATCA